ATATATATATAATATATACTATAAATATTATATATATCATATTATATATATTATAATATATATAATATATATTACATATTATATATCACATTATATATATTATATATATATATCTAGATATATTATATATATTATATAAATCATATTATATATATTATATATAAATATATCTATATATATTATATATATGAATATGTGCATAAATATGTATGCGTATAAACATATATATACATATATATATATAACTGCATATATATACATATATATATTTATATATATATATATATATGACTACATATATTATATATATATATACATATAATAAAAACAAATAAAATATTTTAAATATCCCCGTTGAGATTACTAACAAATCCACTGAAAGAAGCAACTCCACCCTAAATCTGCTGCAGCTGCAGCAGCAGCAGCATTTGCTGCTGCTGCTGCTGCTACATCACCTGCTGCTGCTACTGTTGCTGCTGCTACAAGGGATAACTGCTTTTGTGCAGCTGCAGCGGCATACGAAGGGTTTGAGAGACAGCAGCAGCAATGGCCTCGCGTCTCTTTGCTGCTGCTTCAGCAGCAGCAGCTGCTGCAGCTGCTGCTGCTGCTGGATCTGCTGTTGCTGCTGCTGGGCCTGCTGTATGTGGAAGCCTCGAAGCAGCAGCAAGTATAGGTAGAGCAGCAGCAGCATCAGCAGCAGAAAGCCTCCCTGGCGGCGCTTGCTGCAGCAGCCAGCTGAGCAGCGTAGGAATCCACGATACAAATACAGGGCAACCATCAGCAGCAGCAGCAGCACCATCAGCAGCAGCAGCAGCAGCAGGGTCAGGAGGTGCTGCTGCAGCTCCTGCTGCTGATAAAGAAGCTTCAGCAGCAGCTTGATCACCGTTACCCATCTGCATCTCCTTCACTCTCTTCAGAAATTCCTGCTTCTCCTGTTCCTGCTGCTGCTGTTGCTGCTGCTGCTGCTGCTGCAGCAGCTGCTGCTTGCTGGGTTTATATGAAATAGGGGTGTTATAAGGTGTTTGCTGCGGAGGAGAAGAAGGATAAGCATTCGGTAGGGGGGTCCTCACATGTGCACTGAGTTCAAGCTTCCCTTTGCTGCTGCTGCTGCTGCTGCTGCTGCTGCTGCTGCTGCTGCTGCTGCTGCTGCGTGGCTGCTGGAAGTGCACACAGTTGCTGAGGACAGGGTAAACAAGACAAAGAGCTTCGATTGCGTCTATCAACGAAGAAGGAGACAAACCAGCACCACCAGCTAGCAGCAAACCCTCCCCTGCAAACAAACAGCAGCAGCAACAGCAGCAGCTGCTGCAGCAGGAGCAGCAGCAGCAGCAAGAGCCGCAGCAACAAGAACAGCAGCAACACCGCCAACACCAACACCAGAGCCAGCTCAAACAGACGCAGCGGCAGCAGCAGCAACAGCAGCAGCAAGAACAGTAGCAAGAGCAGCAGCACCAGCAACAGCAGCACCAACACCAGCAACAAGAGCAGCAACAGCACTAACAACAGCAGCACCAACAGCAACAGCAGCACAACGGCAGCAGCAGCCACAGCAACAGCAGCAGCAGCAACAACAGCAGCAGCAACAACAGCAACAGCAGCACCAGCAGCAGCAGCCACAGCAGCAGCAGCAGCAACAGCAGCAGCAGCAGCAGCAGCAGATATCTTGCCTAAGGCTTTGATGATTTGCGGTTCGTTTGCTCCCAGCGCAGCTAAAGCAGAAAGTGCAGCAACAAACTCTGCGGCGTCCCAGCAGCAGTAGTGCTGCAGCAGCAACTCCAGCTGAGTTAAAGCGGCGTCCTGCAACCTGCACCGCAAACCCTAAACCCTAAACCCTAAACCCTAAACCCTAAACCCTAGGAGCCCTCAATCGTAAAACCTATAAGCCCTAAACCCTAAAGTTTAAACCCTAAACCCTAAACCCTAACGCCCCCAGCCAACCGAACCCTAAACCCTAAACCCTTAACCCTAAACCCTAAACCCTTAACCCTAAACCCTAAGCCCTAGGAGGAGTATGAGGGTTTACTTGTGTGAAAAGTAGAAAGGGTTTTGAGCTGCTGTAAGTACAGCAGCAACATCTAAAGGCAGCAGCTTCCCGATGCTGTGTATAAGTGCACCCTGAAGCGTCTGTACAGCTGAAAGTATACGCACATCAGCAGCAGCAAATGCAGCAAAAGCAGCAACAAGGCTAACCTCAGGACCTTGTGCTGCTGCTTGTGCTGCTGCTGCTGCTGCTCGACGCAGCAATCTCTGCCACAGCTCAGGTGTACGTACACCTGAACGCTGCAGCCTCACTGCAACACAACCCAGCATTACTAAATCAAACGCTTCAAAGTATTTGCTGCCGCCCTTCAGCTGCAGCGCTAAACAGTCGCTCATACCCATGAATGTTGCTGCAGACGCACACATATTATATATATATTTATTTATATATTTATATTTATATTTATATATATACAAATGTATTTATATATATATATATATATGCAAGTGCAGCAGCAGCAACAAGAAGTGCAGCAGCAGCAATAACAACAAGTGCAGCAGCAACAACGAGAAGTGCAGCAGCAGCAATTGCAGCAGCAGCAATAACAACAAGTGCAGCAGCAGCAACAAGAAGTGAAGCAGCAGCAGCAACAACAACAAGTGCAGCAGCAGCAACAAGAAGTGAAGCAGCAGCAGCAGCAACAACAAGTGCAGCAGCAAGTGCAGCAGCAGCAACAACAACAAGTGCAGCAGCAAGTGCAGCAGCAGCAAGTGCAGCAAACCTGGTTTATGTTTTTTCTCTCGCCACCACTGCAGCTGCGGTTTGAGTTTATGAGCAGCAAATGTCTCCGTCAGAGGCCTCGGCGTATATATTTTTTCGTTTTGTTTAGACCAAGTGCGACGCGAGGGTGGGGTGTATAGACGCACCTGCTGCAGCAAGTGCTGCTGCTGCTGCTGCTGCTGCTGTTGGTGCTGCATGTGCATGTGAAACGGCTGCTGCAAGTGTTGCTGCTGGTGCAGCAGCAAGTGCTGCTGCTGATAATGCTCGAGAAGCAGCGCAGGTTTATGCTGCTGATGCAACATATACAGAGGCCTCGTCACATGCAATGTCTGCTGCTGCTGCTGCTGTTGCTGCTGCTGCTGCTGCTGCTGCAAGGCGGGCAAACCGGCTCGCCAGTTAGTCACAGAGAAGCGATTATAGCTCTGCTGCTGCAGCAACACACCAAACCTCCTGCTGCTGCTGCTGCTGCTTGCTGCATCTTCATGAAACCTAAAGGAAGAAGGGGCCGAGTGAAGGCAGCAGCACCAGCAGCTGCTGCTGCTGCTGCTGCGCGCTGCTTGACGAGCCCCCAATAAGGTGCCCCTCATGGCTGTGTAGCAGCAGCAGCAACAGTTGCAGCAGCAACGGCAGCAGCACAAGCCGCCCTAATTTTATGCTGCTGCTATCAGCCGTCGATGTGGTATGTCGTGGAGAAGGCAGCAGCAGCAGCAGCAGCTGCTGCTGCTGCTGCTGCAACAGTAAGCAGTGACAGCAGCAGCAGCAGCTGATGTTGCAGGTGCTGTTTCGAATTGCTGTGTAGCCGAAGCCAGTGCTGCAGTCTCTCGGCTGCAGCGCGACGCAGCAACACAGGATTTGCTGCTGCTGCTGCTGCTGCTGCAGCTGTTGCAGCAGCAGCTGCTAAAAGAAGTCTTCCTTATTTTCTCCGCAATTGAATTGTTTAAATATTATTATCAAAGTAAACAAAAAAAGACTGCAGACAAACAATACACCGCAAGCCTGGGGGGCCCCCCTTCTGTAGACGCTGCTGCTGCTGCAGCAGCAGCAGCAGCAGTAGCAGCAGCAGCACCAGCCGGTTAGCATGCAGCTTCGAGCAGCATTAATTGAGATGTTTTAAATACATATTAGCAGCATTTTCTGTCTTTGATGTGAGGAAGAAGTCAACCAAAGGCTGCAGCAACTGCAGCAGCAGTAAGGATAACAAACAGCAGGAGCGGCACCAACTGCAGCAGCAACTCCAGCTGCTGCTGCTGCTGCTGCTGCTAATCCTGCAGCTAAAGAGGAGAAGGATAGCTGCAGTTTGGGCGGCGTTGTCTCCTCCGTTAATAACTTCAGCCACTCCCCTGTTGTGCAGCTGCAGCCAGCGCAGCAGCAGCAGCAGCAGCAGCAGCAGCAGCAAGAGCAGCAGCAGCAACAACAGCATCTGCAGCAACAGCAGCAGCAGGCGTTGCTGGCGTTGACCCGTGGTTGCACTGGATTCCTCTCCAACAGCAGCAGCAGCAGCAAAAACCTCCCGAGTGCCGTCTCAGGGGTCTGAGCAGCAGCAGCAACTGCAGCAACTGCAGCAGCAGCAGCAGCAGCAGCAGCAGCGAAGATGCTGCGTCTGTACGGTGCTGGCCGCCGTAAGGCGACGGAGGAAAGGAGTGGAGGGGGAGCAGGAGAAGGTGGGAAGGCAGCAGCAGCAGCAGCAACTGCAGCAGCAGCAACTTCAGCAGCAGCACCTGCAGCAGCAGCAGGTGCTCCGCGTTTACTAGCTAGTGATATTCGGCTTCAGAAGGACTTAGAAGATTTAGATTTACCTCCTAACTGTACATTGGTTAGTTTGCCTGCAGAAGCAGCAGCAGCAGCAGCAGCAGCAGGAGCAGGAGCAGCAGGAGCAGCAGCAGGAGCAGCAGCAGCAGCAGCAGAGGCGCATGCAGCAGCAGAAAGCCTTCAGACCTTCTTATTGACTTTCTTTTTAGATGAGGGGTTCTGGAGGGGCGCTAGAGTCCGTTTTTTTATTCGACTTCCGCATAATTACCCCCACGACCCTCCTAAAGTTAAATGCAAGGACAAGGCAAGCCGCAGTTAGGGTTTATTAGGGTTTATTATTAGGGTTTGTTTATTAGGGTTTATTAGGGTTTATTAGGGTTTGTTTATTAGGGTTTATGAGGGTTTATTAGGCTTTATTAGGGTTTATGAGGGTTTGTTAGGGTTGATGAGGGTTTATTAGGGTTTATTAGGGTTTATTAGGGTTTGTTAGGGTTTGTTAGGGTTTGTTAGGGTTTATGAGGGTTTATTGTTTATATAATATAAATGCAAACAGTATAATAACATTTGTAGAGAGTGTTTATTTAATAATAATAAATAATAATAAATAATAATAAATAATAATAAATAATAAATAAAATAATAAAATAAAATAATAAATAAATTTATTTATTTATTTATATTTTTGTGTATTTGTTTATTTTATTCTTTTGACTAAATATCCTAATAAACTAATAAACATATATATTAAATAAACAAGTAAACAAATAAATAAATAAATATATTAATAAATAAATAATAAATAATAAATAAGTAGATAATAAATAATAAAATATAATATATTTATTTGCTTCTTCAGCTGTACCACCCTAACATTGATTTTGAGGGTAATGTTTGTTTAAATATTCTGCGAGAGGACTGGAAGCCTATTTTGTCGCTGTCTTCTGTTATCTACGGACTGCTGCATTTGTTTCTTGTTAGCTGCTGCTGCTGCTGCTGCTGCTGCTGCTGCTGCTGCTGATGCTGCTGCTGCTCATGATGATGGTGCTGCTGCTGATGCTGATGCGGCTGCTCATGATGATGGTGCTGCTGCTGTTGCTGATGCTGCTGCT